ATGGTTTGAAGCCAGCCTGGGCAGAAAAGTCTGTGAGGCTCTTATCTCCAATTAATCACTCAAAAACTGGAAATGGTGCTGTGGCTTAAAGCGGCAGAGTGCTAGCCTTGAGTAAAAGAGCACAGGGACAGTGCCCAGGCTGTGAGTTCAAGCCCCAGGACTGACAAAAAAAAAAGAGTTTCAGATTTGTCTGTTTGGGCTGGCTTCTAATCTTGATACTTAGAGTTCAGCCTCCAGAGTAGCTAGATTATAGGCTTAAGCCACGTTTACCTTGCTTATCTCAGGAAGAGGAAAAACCAAAAGAAATCTTATCATTTCTAGCAGAAATCTACTTAAAATCTACTCACCCAAACACTAGAGTACTTGATTTACCCTCGAGTAAAGACCATTTCCCCAGGGAAATGGACAGCATTAAAAGATCATTTACTCTTGCAGCCTGGTTAGAAACCCTTACTGGGCTCTATCTACCAACCCTTGTGCAGTTCTAATTACATCCTACTGCTCAAGATTCTGCCTCCAGGGGAGAGCTGTGGAGCTGGGTTCTTTATTGACCCCTCAAGGCACCCCAGGTCTCTGCAGCATTTCTGGCTGGGCCCATCTGTAGGTTGAACTTGGAGCCAGTGAGTCATGATCTTACCATGACCTTGGCTGACCTAGGTAAAGGGAATTCCTTCTGCCTCAGATTACACCTAGTATCGAGGGTACTGAGAACCGAGAATGATCTTCATATTATTTTGAAGTTCATGGTTGCACTTCACAACAGTGAGAGAGGGGAAGTGTCACCAGAGGGAGGGAAAATTACAGATTTCTTTAGGAGTCACCACCACTGGAAAGTTCCCGGGACATGATCTTGTGTTTGTTATTCACGTCCCTCCCCAGCTTCCTGCCTGGGACCTGCACGCCCATGCTAACCCAGATACCAGATATTAGAAGATCCAGTCATCTGTATTTTCACCAGTCGTCATTTGGATTGCATTTTTTTTTAAAAACTGGATTATTGTGTTATAAAGAACTTATTTGATTTTTTTGTAGCAGATTTCTGGCAAGGAATTTCAAAGCCACTAGAGAATGAGAGTGTTGTAGGATGGGAAAATCTAAGCACTTGATTATTAACCCAATCTCAGGACATCCAGCAAGAATGCTGGGTAGGAGATCAGCTCAGTCATGTGGACAATAATCAATCAGGTCCACCTCATTGACAAGCTCTGGTGCACAGAAGCTCAGTGGACTTCCTGGTTGGAGACCGGTTGGTGTAGCAGGAGGATGGGGCAGCTCAGTGGCAGAAGGTGTGAGGCTCAGGGTATGATGCACCACGCTGCAATGGTGATGCTTGCTGTACCCCTATTTTCCAGAGAGACACGTCGACACTCAGTCAATTAGGCTAAGAGCCTTTATTGCTCTGGAATACAGTGACAAGTTGTGAATCTGCTGGGTATTGGAAGGCAAACACACACATACACAGGTGGTGCTTTTGCAATAAGCCAGAGCAAGCAAGCTGGGTGTACAGAAGCAAGAGTTATGCAGTTAGCAGGAATTTGGCACATGGGGTACAGAAGCGAAAATTATGCAGTTTGCAGGAATTTGGTGGCTTTGCTTGGTTTCCCTCTGACCCATTTCTCAGAATCTGCAAAAGGGCAGATGTTCTTGTTGCCAGTTGTTCAGGTCACTGTGCATTCCGTGGTTTGGCCTCACCCCTGGCCTACTGGTGGGTGATAACTGTTTTACTGCTGTTTACTGAATTCCAGTAACCTGCTCTTTGGAATTCTTCCTTTAATGACCGACCTGAGGGTTTTCTCTACAGGAATGCTGTGCCTTTAATGTGTTGCCCTATTCTTAATATTTCTTGTTCTGTTTCTGATTTCATATTTTACATTCTTTTTTTTGGGGGGGGTCACCACATCTCCTGCTCCTGTTAGAATCACTGACATGTTTCCATCTCATTTGCCTGGCAAAGGGGCTGGTACTGGGTCTGAGTATGTAGAACCATCAACTTGATGGCCTGATCCTGGCTATCATGCGTTAGGCAACGAATAAGGCAGGGTCCTGCTACTCTGAGGCCTGCCGATCACATTCTCGGCCCTTCACGTTCTTTCTACCCAAGGCCAAAGTTTCCCTAACAGCCCCAGATTGATGTGCAAAAAAGCAACAAGCTTCTCCTAATGCCATGCACAATCCTCCTTGTTCCATAAAAAATTAATCAAGTCCCCTCCTGTTCTAAGGACAACTTCTGCTAGAGTCCAGCTGGTTCTCCAGTCACAATAAAGGGTTTTCTAGACGTCTTACATCCTCATCTATTTGGGCACTTAGCTGTCTGTAGTTTTTAATCTCCTGTCAAAGCAGAGGCGCTCACAGCTGTAGATCCTACCACCCCGAACCTGCTAGCATAGGAATTGGCATTAGGCACGGCTCCTCGTACTTGATGTTCTCCTTTTCGGGGATCAAAATGTGTCATTCCTCCCTCTCCACTGTATCCAAACAGTTGGGGCATAATAGGAACAAGTACACACAGAGCTCCATCTTTTTGGTTTTCCAGCACACATTTTCCAGCTACACATTTAGATAACCCGTGTGCATGCAAACCATGCGGTATTGGGGGCCTGATAGTAATCTCACTTTGAGCTGCTATCTGAGGTACACAGGGTTGTGTTGCAAATGTCTGTGTAAGCGGAGCCTTGCATTTGGTATTTGGAAGAGGCACACAAATTCCTCGTCCTTAGAGGTCTCCCGAGGTTACCCAGGGATGACTCCAATTATAGCTAGCCCCATCTTTAGTAGGAGTCAGGGAGAAACTAGTGGCTTCAATTCCCACACAGTAAGGGGGTCAGCGATCTAGACAATCTTGTCCCAACCCGGGGTCTGATTGAAGAACCAATGGATGCACCAAGCCTAGCATTTGGCAAACAGGAGTTTGGCTCTCCGGACTGGAAACCTCGTTTCCATTTCTTGGAGTTCATTTCTATATAAGCTTAACTTATGTGATCATATGCACATAGCTTTTGAGAACTTCTCCTAAGGATATCCTCTTTTGAGCTCACTGTGTGAATGTCTACTTATCATGTCCAAGGGCAGTTTTCTGTCTTTTACCATCATTGTGTGTACTTGTAGATTTATAGGCACATTCTAATGACCTCAAATGAGGGAAATTGGACAACCTATGTTTCTGGCTTACTTTGCTTAATATAATTTTTTTCCTAGAAACAAGCTTTTTAAAAGAGCCCTATTAGGTTAGCAAGTACTGTACAGATTATGGGCTTATTTTTAGTGCTATAGGGGTTTGAACCCAGGTTCTCATATTTGTTAGGCAGGTACCCTACCTTTTGAGCCATGCCTTCGATGGGTCTAACACTGGCAGTTTTAACACTGGAAGCATTACAGAAACATACAAAATAGTTTCATTGTCCCGAAGACCCCGTGCTCCACGTATCCTCTCCTCCATGTGAAGGTCTTTCTACTGGCCCCAGCATGAACCCCCAGGTTCCAGGAAGCCGTTGTAGGGTTTCTGTTGCAGTATTACAGTGAGCTACAATCAGCTGTGCCAGGCACTCCTTCCCACCAGCCATGAGGACCTGGACTTTGGCTCATTCGCCCTAATGCCTTCTTTGCGTGGCACTTGCTGTACTTGACAGTTTACACTGCTCACACCTGTACTCCTAGCTACTCACAAAGTTGAGATCTGAGGACCAGAGTTCCAAGCCAAACCAGGCAGGTCAATCCAAGAGACTCCTATCTCCAAGCAACCACGACAAAGCCGAAAGCAGAGCTGTGGCATCAAGTGGTAGAGTGTCAGCCTTCAGTGAAAAAGCACGCACGCCACACACACACACAGGTGAAGGAAAATGATTGCAGAAAACCACAAGAAAACCATTTCACTCCTTCTCCAGAGGGAAGCCGCCTTGTGCCAGCTGTGCCGGTGAACCCCTGGACAGCCATCCGGGCTCCCAGAGCTCAGGCTGTGAACCCCTGGACAGCCCTCAGGGGCTCCCAGAGCTCAGGCTGTGAACCCCTGGACAGCCCTCAGGGGCTCCCAGAGCTCAGGCTGTGAACCCCTGGACAGCC